TTCTTTTTTTTTTTTTTTTTGTATGTCAGTTAGATTGTGACATTTTAAGCACTGACCACCAGATAAATTGAAACACAAACTACGTAAAGTTTTCAAGGGTGATGAGGAAAAAACGCCATTGTTGCTGGAAGCAGCCCAGTTACCAAAGGAAACCAAAAGAAGTGAGCCAGGCATCCCAATGAATTGCATCCATATTACATCATATCCTGAAGGTCCACAAAACTGTCCTTCCAGCTGCTAAGGAGAGTTTGTTGCAAAAGCACCTTCTAAAGGAATCTTGCTGCAAAATTATACTGTAGTTTGGGGGAAGGAGGGTAGAAGCTACCTGCTACATGAAGAGGGCAGGTTTGGTTGTGCCAACAGCAGAAAGTTTTTTTGCGGGGGAAAGATAACATCTTGTATCTGCTGAAAGGAGCGCCTTTTGTTAAAGCACTAGAATTAAATTCAGTCCTGGATTCAGTTGTGCCACAGTCATCCTGTTTGTTCAGGTTCTTGATTTTAGGCTAACTATGTGTGTGGAAAAATGCTCCCTAAACTACTCTTCTTTGAAAGGGTGTTTTGGAAAGACGTACTTTAATATTTGTGAGATGCTCTGATGATGGGTGGCAATTGTAAAGGAACCTAAATAAAAGATGGCTTGTGTGGGCATAGAAACAAATGGCAAAATTCCTGCTGATTGTTCAGTGAGGTCAAGTAATCATAAAAGATATTGCAGTTGCTTTTCTCTCCCTGCCCCATTCCACTGCATGCTGCATCCTCCCCTCTCTTTTATAAGGATAAGGGAGGGGGCAGGTCCACCCACAACTGGCTGTGTTATTGAAGTGCATGTGTTCTTTATGGCCTATAAGCCATACTGTAGTCATGCCTGTGTAGGAACAAGGGTAAAAAATCTAAAACTAATAACAGGCAAACCTTTTTATTTCCACAGTATCCCTTGTCTTTGCTTTCTGTGAGACTGAAAGTAAACTTTAGTTACATTTGTACTGTGAACTTATTCTTCTAATATGAGTTCATTTATAATTTTCCGTTGCTATATAAGATAATTCAGATATTTACAGCATCTAGAATTTCCTAGAGAAAAATCGGAACCTAAAAATATAAAAGCAAACATGCAGATGTGAGTAAAAAGAGAAATAGTTGAAATGACAGATTCACAAAAGTATTTAGGATCATAAGATCTTAGGGGTCAAAAGAAAGCAAGGCTGAAAGGGTCATCTTGTCCAGCTTTCTGTTCCAGGTGGGAGTATCCCTGACTAAACCATCCTAGCCCACTGTATCTAAGCCTTTCCTGAAAGTTTCCAGGGATGAAGATTTCCACACCTTTTTTTAGGTAGCCTGCTCCAGTGTTTGGATACCCTCATAATCAGGAAGTTCTTCCTCATCTCCAAGATAAGTTTGCTTTTTTTTTTTCTTTGCTGGGCCTTGAGTCCATCGCTCCTAATTCTGTCCTGTAATGCCACAGAAAAAAGCCCATCACCATCCTCTAATTGCCCTTCAGGTATTTGAAGGTAGTTATCAAATCCCTTCACTCCCCCCAACCCTTCCATCTTCTCTTCTCCAGATAAAATAATCCTAGTTCGTTTAGGCTGTCCTCCTCAGTATTACCTAGTAATCAGTTTGGTTGCTCTGCACTGGAATCTTTCCAAAATGTCCATATCCATCTTGAAGTGTGAGGCCCAAAACTGGACAAAGCATTCCAGATGAGGTCTCACCAGTGCTGAACAGAGTGGAAGATTCACTACCCTTGATTTCTAAGTGACACTTCTGTTACTACAACCCAGTATGCTTTTGCTTTCTTTCTTTTTTTTGGCTGATATTCATCATCTTTAACCTCCAGGTCCTTCTTTGCAGTACTGCAGCTTTTCTCCATGAAATTATTCCATCCCAAATGCAGGACTTTGCATTTGACCTTGCTGAATTTTATCTGATTGATTGCAGATTGATTGATTCCATTTTTTCCAGTCTAGGTTCCTAAAAAATACAAATAGCTGCCAGATAGGACATTCAAAAACTTCTGGGTGAATTAAAATCCTAAATACACTTATAAATCAACTCTAAGTGTTCTGTGTCAGGTAGGTTAAAAGTCACCTTGATTTTAAGATCTTCCTTAATTTTTTAAAGGCGATTGATAAGCTGCTTAAATAAAGTTATACAACCCTGGAGATGGATTGTTTAGGCTGTTCTTGTGCAGGAAGAAGATTTTGAATACCAGCAGGGCATGAAAAGTAGAAACATGAATGGGTAAAACAAATATTTTCATTCTTCCTTAAAATGTACAGGAAGCCGTTGTTACTTTATTGCCTACCTTCTTCTCCGGTTGGCTGCCTTACTGTAGTCCTATCCTAGTCTCTAAAAGAGAAAGCATCTACTTATCCCAAATCTCTTTAAAACCTGTACTAAAACTCAGCATAACATTTTAGCAAATTGTCTGTAGAAAATCCATGTGTCCTTCACTGGAGACAGGACTTGTGAGTTGAGTTTTCTGTATGGACGTTTTGCTAAAGCTTTGTATGATTAAAAGTTGGACGCATCCAGGCAAATTCTGGGAGATTTTGCTGAAGCCTGGTATTCATCTTTTGTAGTACATTAGGTTTTGTGCAGGACCTTTTCACTAGGGTGAATTTTGCCTATCAAGTAGCTTATATAAATGTAGTTTTTGTTTTTTTTCCACTAATTTGGTTCTGTGCATTAAATGTTTTGATTTTTGTTCTATTGGCTGTTTTTTATTTTTTGTAACTAGCATGGGGTGCTGCATCCAGCAGCCCATATATTTTCTTCATTGTGGTGTAAGAATATATGCAGTTGTAGCTAATAATCCGATTAGTAAAGTAACTGCCATACTGAATCTGATGGTGCATCCTGCCTCCATTACTGCTCCAAAATGGGGCCCCTTAACCATTTCCCTGGACATCCCCTGGCAGCCATAAAGCACCTTGCCAGTTGACAAAAGCAGAGAAAAGAAGGCCCTCTTACTTGTTCCCTTAATGGATGCTCTTGAGTAAAATGATGGTCACATTGAAGTTGTTGGGAATTTTTGCCATTGACTTCGGTGGAGTCAGGGTTTTATCTTTGCTGTCTGGAATTATAGAACGTAGGTCTATAATTATAAAAATGTAGGTCTGAAAGACGCCTTCAGAGGTTATCTAGTCCACCTCCCTGCCTGAGGCAGGATTATCTCCATCCAAACTATCCTGTACAAATCTATTGTCTAACCTACAGTCAACCTGAACAGAACTCTAACACACAACACCCTAACCTGCCACAGGTAAAGCAGGGGGAACCATGATGAGGGCAACTTTTCTCTGTCAGATTACACCACAGAAACAGTCTGCCAAATCCAAACCAACAATGAGAGAGACTGAATCATTAACTGTGCATCTGGATGGTAGAAGTTTGGGTGCTTTTGAATACTAACCCTGCTAGTAGAGTAAAGCCTGAAAATGCCTTCAAACAGAGCGAGTGAAACAGCCCATTGTGTACATGTGCTTTTCTGAGGACGTGAAACATCTTGGCTTGAAATTAGTTCTGGAAGCCCTTGGCTTCAAAAGCCATCTGGAACGTGACATAACAAAATAAACTGTAGCCCAGCAGGAACTGAACCAATGCCAAATTAATTAGTTAGGATTTTAAAATATCATGGCACTCTGCTGGCCGAGAATTAATTTTAAGTTACATTCCCAGAAGTAACTCTCAGCCCGCCGCCCCCCCCCCCCCTCCGAGTAGTGCTTTCAGCATGTCTTAGTAAAGCAAGTGGCGTTAGAAGTCTTTTCTGTTTCCTTTGTCTACATTTTCATTACATCATTAACTCCTCAGGTCAGGGACCTATTGGTTCTGCTGGTATGTACAATGTCATGCATGCTGCACTGGGTAAATATGAAGTAAAGTTTTAAATTTTAATATCAATGGGCATGTCTACAGATGCCTATTGATGTGAAGTGAGAAACCCCAGAGCTTATTGCCCTGGAGTTTATTGCTCTGGGCACGCCGTTTAAACGTGCACTTGGGAGTGCACTGCATTGAGTTGCATCAGAGCAGCCCCAGCTGGTAGGGGACCCAGGGGGTCAGCCTGCCAGGTTGGGGCTGCTCTGACCTGATTTTAAGTGTGCTATGGAAGGGCTGGCTGGAGCATAAAGGTGTTTGTGTGGAAGGCAGCTCCGACACTGAAGTACCCTCATGGCCCTGCCAGACAAGTCAGCATCTACACATGTGCTGCTGCATGCAAAAAACTGCAGCAGGTATGATCCTGCTGCAGAGTTAATTCATTTCCTGTGCCTTAATAGGGCTGCATGTGTAGACACCAAGACGTTTACTGTGGAGCTAATTAGGCAGTTCCACAGTAAATGTCTCATGTAGATATACCCACTGTAATGTAAAATTCATGTGTGATGCATGTACAAATGCAGTTCTTATTTTTATTCTTAAAGCTATAAAACACCAAATTCTGATATTGTTATTGGTCCTGCCAAACACCCAGGAATTTCAGTACTCGCTTGCTTGTTTGCTTCCTCTTTCAGACTCACATCCAAGGAGGAAAGAAGGTGGTACAGACTGATGAATGGCGAAATAGCCTGGTGGAAGAAAGGCTAGAATATGCGCTTATCAAGGTAGCTTGCTATAATAAACTGCCTTGCCTAATCAAAATGTGCAGCATGAAGGGTTCATTGTTGTTATAAAGATTGCGATGCAGCCATTAAAAGCTTTTAATCATAGAAGTCATAAACTGCTGTACCTGGTACTACTGGTAACACTTTTAAATCATTGAAACAAAGAGAAATGTGATAACAGTACTTCACCACTGACTTCTTTTGTATTGTACATAGCCAGGGTCAGTAGAATTTAGATTGGTCAGTCTCACATGCCTTGGGTTGCTTGCTAATCCATTTCACTTTTCATTAACAGGAGGATAAGATGGTTGAGTTACAAATATGAGGGGAAAAATTTCATTCAGACTTCCTCCATTCAAACTTTAGGAATATCTGCTGCTGATGAAGACTTCTAGCAGGCCAGGTTTTATGCGAGTTCACAATTAGTAAATGTGCAGATATATAAACATTGCTCTAGACAATTGATCTATTTATACTGTTGTTGTGCTTATTGTTAAGTAAAAAATTTTTGAGGTGTAGGGAAACAGATATATAATATAATAGAAAATATAAGGAAAAGTTGTGTGTGGGGATTCTTGTGTTTTTATTTTGTTTGGGTTTGTTTGGGTTTTTTTTAGGGCATTGAAAAATATGTTATTGAGGACACAGAAGAGGCGAGGTTAAACCATGAAAAATACCCCAGACCTCTGAATATAATTGAAGGACCTCTGATGAATGGCATGCAAGTTGTTGGTGATCTCTTTGGTGCTGGAAAGATGTTTCTGCCTCAGGTAAAAAGGGGAATAATTCTTTTGTGTCCCACTTCCTCACACCTAGCCCATCTATCTCTCTGGTTATGCTAAGGGCAGGCAAAATATGGCCTGCCAGGCAATTTTGATCCAGCCTGCAAGTGCCTGCCAATTGTACTCCGCCCAGCCCGTGTGGTTCTCTCCCACCCTCCTGCATAGAATGTCCCTGGCCAGCATGCACAGGTTCTGGGTGGAGCTGCTGCCCCCATGGCTGCAGCTGCCAGGGGAGCTGCACATGGTGGCAGGGAGCAGAGCCAAGCCACCAGCTCCATCACACAGGACTTCCCCACTTCGTGGTGTGCAAATAAAATAAATGCAGAGTATAAAATTTTATACATTTTATTTTTAATTAAATTTTTATTGAAGTTTCTGATCTTAGAAAGTGCTAAGGACCCAGAGCTTGCACTGCCCTCTTTTTCTTTTGTGGTCCTTAAACATACCTCTCATGGTCAGACCTGAAGATCCTGGTTCTGCAGTGAGATCTGTATGAACAGAACCCCATTGAACTTGATGGGCCTGGGAACTAGCACTACAGCGTTCGCTAACAGACTGGGTTCTTTGGAAATACTTAGTTTTGATTTGCTTGTTTTCTCTGACTGGGAATAAAAAAATCAGTCATTGAAAGGCTGTTACTGTTTCTCTGTGTCTGACAATTTTGTTTCCTTTTTTATTTGTCAATTCAGGTGATAAAATCTGCTCGAGTTATGAAGAAGGCAGTGGGCTACCTCATTCCTTACATGGAAAAGGAAAGAGAGGAAATGAGAGCTAAATCTGGGAATATAGAAGAAGAGGCAAGTTGTGCTTTCCCACCCTAAAACTCTCTCTCTCTCTCTCTCTCTCTCTCTCTCTTTAAGCTAGCATTCATTGAAACTAGCCTATAGAGTTGTTTCCAGGCAGTCTCCCTGAGGAGGAGCCTAAAATCTGGACCAGGGAAATCAAGGCTTATGATTTGTCAGCATAACTGCAAGTGGATATAAGGTGAACAATAACTTTTAGTGGAATCATCAGGCGGCTTCCTGATGGCAAATACCAGCACTTTGGTTGGTCTGCAACTTTTGAAGTTTTTAGTATGAACCTTATGATATGCAAACTTATAAGAAATCTTGTGGAGCTCTAGTTAGGCTTTGTGATGCACTGAACCTAAATTCTGTGCCAAAGTCTCCAGTTTCAGCAGTTTTCAGATCTTGTGGCAAATAGACACTTCCCAGCAATATAATATAGAAGCCTCCAGCCTTACATCTCTAGGAAACCTCATTGGGTCATGTGCTGTATCCTTTGGCACTAAGGCAGGACAAAATAAACCTAGATCACCCCAAACGATGTTCAACCTCTTCCTAATATGTAACCAATATGTAACTTAAATCTCCCTTGCTACAAATAAAATTTGTTACTTCTTATGCTTTCCCTTGGTGGAGATGGTGAAGATCTTGCCATTCTCCTTGATAACAACTTTTTCAGTAATCTGAATATCAGTGTCCTGTTCCACCCTCCTTTTATTTTTTCTCTTTTTCTAAATTTTAAATATACCCCCAGTGCCTTCAGCCTTTCTTCATGGGTCAGATTTTCTAACCTTGCTGTTCTCATCTGGATTTCTTCCCCCCTCCCCGTCCCCATTTGTCTGCATCTTTCTGACCCAGCTCCCAGCCAGGTAAAATGATTCATTTGTGTCTTCCTTCTCTTAATGTTTTCTGCAAAGAAATGTTTCCCTTCACCCCAGCATCATTTGTTTAATCGCATTTGATTTCCCTCTCCTCTCCCGGCTATTTCCTTAGTGTAGTACTCGGCAGTTGTCTTTATTTAATTTCATCTTACTGGGTCTTTTTTCAGACCACTGCTCCAATTTATCTAGTTCCTTTCAAATTCTAATTCTGTTCTCCAAAATTCTTGTAATGTCTTCCACCTTGGGCTTGTTTGCAGGTTTTAAAAAGTACTCGCTCTTCCTTCTTCCAAAACCTTAATATATTCTTTAAGTGACACTGCCCAAGAGATCCTTAGATCCCACTTAATGTCTTCCTAGACAGTTAACCATTGGTAATTATTATTTAACAGTACCCCCTACCCCCACACCAGTTGTTTCAATCCTGAAGTTGTTAAATTTGGTCCTTCTTTCCCTAGTTTACTAATGGCACTGTGTTTTAAAAGCCTTACTGAAGTCAAGATATACCACTGCTTCCCCTTTTCACTAGGCCAGTTTTCCAGTCAATTTGCTTTGACATGATCTGTTGTTGACACATCTGTATTAGCTATTACCAGCTTATTATCCACTATACGTTTATAAATTTACAATTTAAATTATTTATTCCAGTATACTTCCAGGTACAGAAGTTTGGCTCCCTGCTCTATAATTCCCCAGATACTCCTCTTAGAGACAGGTACTATGTTTGCCCTTCTTTAGTCCTCTGAGACCTTCCATTATGCTCCATAACTTCTTAAAGGTAACTGCTAGGTGCTTCAGAAATTGTAACAATATTTAAAGATTAATTTTTAAATATGAGATGGAACCCTTAAGTAGTAAATCTAATTTTTAAAAATTTTCTTGGGCGTTCCTTAGTTGAACACATTCAAATTAATTTCATATTTCTGTACTACAGCCATCAAGGTAAATTACTCCAGAACTTGCTTTCATTTGTTCTCCCTCCTGTGCAAACTTTAACTTAATGAGAAAAGGAGGTGCTTTTCCCCTATACTCCCTATGGTATGGGGAAAAGCACCCCCTTAGCTACCTCTTGTAAATGTGTGTCTTTTCTCCCAGGGAAGTGATTCTGCAGTCTTTTTCCCTCCCTCTCTTCCCCAATTCCAGTGGTAAGATACATTTTTTTTTTTTTTTCTTCTGCTGCTTCCTGTCTTGAACCAACAGCTGTCTGTTTTAAACTAACTGCACAAATGACTGCTGATTAAGCTTCTTGGGCCTCATCTAACATCCACTGGAGACTGTTGAGAATCGTTTCTATGGATTGGATCCTATTCTCAGCCTTTAAGGCTTTGGTGACATAGCTGTTTCTCACTGAAGAGAATAAGATGTAAAATAAGCACAAGCTGTCTGCAGAGATGTCAACTTTTACAAATGTCATCCTGCTTTGATAGAGGTGTTAGATGAAGAATCAACTAGACTCAGTGCTACCTTCTGCAGACTATGAGGGGCTTGGTAAATACCGCTCCTTCTTAGAGGAGGGAAGAGAGAGGCTAGTAGGGTCTGGCCCTTAGAATAGCTGCTGACCCTCTGAAAGCACACTTGCGCACCAACAAGCTTTTATTCTGGGGCACTGTAACCTTCAGCACCATTTCAGTCACAGACCTGCAGGGAATGCAGTCTCTTCACTTACATCTGAGGATGAATGACTGGTTGCAGACCTGGAACAGAATAAGAAAAGAACCAGTTGGGCCTGTGCCCAGAATCAGTATGCCAGCTCATTTAAAACAGATGAAATCATTGTGTTCTAAAATAAAATACAGCTACACTGAAGTATGTACTCTGGCCCATATTGCTTGCCGTCTGGCATAGACTTTTTTTCTGTGTTCCACTCAATCTGTTTTTTTTTTTTTTCCCTAGGGCATCCATCACCAATTGAGTCAACAGTAGTTAGTAGACAATAGAACTTTACATACCAGTATTTTTTTCTGTTTTGATTCAATGGCATTTTAACTTTTGTGATTCCCCACAACATACGCTTTTCCGGTTTTCCTTGCCCTCCAGATAGCACCTCCCTCTAACATGGCATCTCATGAACAAGTGTTTTCCAGTGTTCACTATCTGAAAACGGAAATACTGGAGAGCTACTAGAAGATCTAGTCATTTTAGTGAACAGGGTTATCTCTGGGGATCCCCTTTTTTAAATTTAGTCAGTTTATAAGATTGCAGGTGCCAGTAAAAGACTTGCTATGACTGAGAACAGTACTGGCTGCTGAATGTGAGGGAGATGCATGGTGGTCTAACAAGCCTAGAAAAGAGAACGCACTGCACAAGGATGAAACAGTTTCTCTCTTCCTAGATTTGTAAAAGATATAAAATACTCAATCAGAAATGAACCTTTTGGATTTCAGTGTACAAGTATACCCAAGTTTCTTCTTGACTTTGCAAGTCTGTTACAGCAACCTGATCTTACTCATGACATGAAAGCAACCTGTCAGATTTTTGTCCCACTGGAGTTGAAGAAGTTCCACTGTGTCCGCTATTAACAGTGCTCTTTGACCGGGATTGGGCAGCCTGGCACGTAGAAGCTAAGTTGACCAGACTTATGAAGGCACTGGGCTACCTCATTCTTTACAAGTGAAACTTGTTCTTCAGTTGGTTTACTAGCAGTAATGGTTTTACGAATTATATTAGTAACCTCATTTATCATGATCATTTGTATAAAAAAAATGATGTAGTAGCTTCTGTGAACCAGAGCCATGGATTAGGATTCCATTGTTAAGAGCTGTACAAATAAGTTGAACTTTAATCATAATTTTAAAGATTGAGGTGTTTTGTTTTTTCTTTTGCAGGACCCTTATCATGGCACAATAGTGCTTGCTACTGTAAAAGGAGATGTGCATGATATTGGCAAGAACATTGTGGGAGTGGTCCTAGGTTGCAATAATTTCAGGTAATGGGGCTAGTCATCACTTCCTGGTCTTTATCGCAGTATAATGTTCTCATCTGAATTGCAGTTAGATATTCCATGTTCAACCTTAATAACTAAAGTTAAAATAGGGCATAAGCAAAGGCAGGATTGCTAATCCCAAGAATTTAAAAAAACAAGCAGGGCCTTGTTTTAAAATTGATTTGTTTTAAATGTTGGGTTATTTTAATTTGTCTTCTGTTTTCACCTACTCTTTCCCCCTCTTCGCTGCCCTCTGCTCAGTAACAAAAAGGGTGTGACATTTAGAGGTATATTTGTGTTCTGTCTCATTAGGCTGAGAACCTCCAACTTATCACATGATTCTAAAATCCGGAGCTTTAAGAAAATGTTAAATCTTGCAAGGTTTGTATCAGTGGAAACTGGCAATCATGAAGGCACAGTTTTGTAGTCCTGTAAAACCTGCTTAGTCAGGAGACCTTTGGGTGGTGCACAGTCAAACCTGGCTCAAAATTTTATTGGTTTTTGGCCTCTCTTTGGACGAGACTACAACCAGAAAGGAAAATGTTTAACAGAATAGGTTTCATTTAAAAGAGGTTACATTTCTGAAGTTGGGTAAAGCTGTTTTAATGCATATAACAGCATTTTCGATTACCTTCTCTCATGAACTTTCATTGATTACTTTGGGCTTTCTCATGCTTTATTTAGGCTGAACTACTTAGTGAACTGAAGTCAGTGTATTCTGTCACAACGAGTGGGAGTGATGCTGAATGAAGCCAGCAGGCTGAGGCAGCTGGCTAAAAAATAAGTGCTTACTTGTACAAATGCTTTGGTAATGGTTAGTTATAATGGGAATAGGACATTAGAGTATGACACAATTTAATGTTAGCAATTTTCTTTTTAATTTTCCCAAATGTGGCTTTGGTTTTGAAGGATTTAATAATGCACAGAAAAACTAAATGTGAATGTAATTATAAGCCTTGCTCAAGATGCATTTTGTACTGAAACTTTTGGTATTTACTGACAGCTCTGAGCCACTTTTCATCAGTTTCATTGATCTGTTTGTGTATTTGTATGTAAGCAATCATTAAGCAAGGGACACTCTTATATCTTGTGTCTTGTACGTTACTTTGATAGTAGGACTAGTACTGCATATAGGTTTCAAAGAGTCTTTCATAGTATGTATGTGAGTGCTCCATTCTAACTGAGTTACTGCTGCAGAATGGTTATCTTTTTTTTCCCTTTCTAATAGTTTTCTCCTTTTTATATTTTGCCTGGTGTGTAAAGGTGGATGGGACTAAACTTATTCTTTATGCTGGTTAGCTTGATTAAATGTTAGCTCAGGAGCAGTTGCAAAAGACTAAAGGGTTGGTTCCTCACCATAAAGATCCAGGGGAAGTATCTTGATGAGAAATGCAGCTTCTCTGCCTTTAGCTGCTAGAAAAGAGAAGTATTGTCCCATCACCCTACTTTGGATCCATCTTTCATCCCTTATCTTTCTGGGATCCTATGACCCCTGCTGACTTCCTGTCCCTGGGGCAGGGGGCTGGACTCGAAGAACTTCCGAGTTCCCTTCCAACCCTAATGTCTATGAAATCCCAGTCTGGTTAATTAGCAGACTGTAAATCTGAAATTTCTCTAGTTGTGTGGAAGTAATTAAGCTTTGTCTCTTGTTCTTGATTCAGAGCTGCTGTAGAAGGTGTAGGGTGCAGAGTACCTGGATGCTTTCCACTTTTCTGAGCCTTTATTTGGCTCCTTTCCCCTCCCCCACCCCATAAATAAGTCTGCCCTCTACTGCTGCATAGCTTCGTAAGAAGCAGTAGTAATAGGGAACTGACATCATTCTTGTCAGATTCACCACTGCCAAGATTTTGAATGGCAACTGTGGAACTGACTGGAGACTTGTCAGCTTCACTCCTCTACTTAGCAAAGTTATGAGCAGCAGCAGAGAGACACTTGAGCTACCTGCCTGCAGACTCAGAGAGCTGATGCTGTATTTATTTGGAAGGTTATTTGTGTAGCTGTAGGGGATTGAAAGTTCCTTTTCTTAAAGGAAAGCATAGATGCTGCAGTTGATGGGATGGGTCACCTTGCTTCCCAGAGCACGTGGATTTTTCAAGCCCCAGTTGTTAGGGTTTTTTGGCAATTTGTAGGCACAGTAAAAATTACCAGCATAGAATTGTCATCGGTACATAGTTAAAAATACATTGGTTAGCCACCAAACTTATTTTTATGAATCCAGTACTACATCCGTACTGAATTGGTTGTATTCACGTCTGCTGTTCCTTTATGCCTGCCTAATAGATAAATTCATGTTATGTTTGTTTATTTTTAAAAAATTCCCATGGTAAAATTTTTAAGTTTTCTCTACTCATGGTACCGTATCATGAGAAATTCCTTCAGGAGCTAAAAATTCTCCAAGGTTGCCAGTGTTTTTGCAAGATCAGTTATAACCAAAGGTATCCACTTATTTCCTTCAAAATTAGATTTCTGTGGTCTTTGTTTAAAATACAGCACTTTGTGCTAATGGTTTAAAATAAATGACATGATCACCCCTTCAAAACATGTTTTGTTACCTTTAAAAAGAATCGTGTACCATCTTATTTCTTTTCACAGGGTTATTGATTTAGGAGTCATGACTCCATGTGATAAGATATTGAGAGCTGCTATTGAAAACAAAGCAGGTATAGAAACACTTGATCTATAATCTCCATTTGTTTGAATTTAAACATGAACTTGAATTATCTTGCTAACGAATTCTGGAAGATTAAGAGGCTCATGGGCAGCTTTTTATTGACAGAGCTTACCTTTTTATTGTTGCTGCTAATGTTTGGCGCACACTATAAAAACCTTTTCCTAAGGTCTGAAATATTTTAGAAAAGAATAGCTCTATGGAATAGGTACATCTTACTACATTTCACACAAGAATAACCTGAGGCTTAGAAAGGTTAAAGGACATATGAATTAGTCCAACTTGGCTTTTAGTTCCATTCTGAATCTTGCCAAACCAGTGACAGTAAAAGCTAGAATTCATGGTTGTAGGGCAATAAGTTTTCTCTAAACCAGATGCCAGCTGCTTCCAACTTAAATGTTGTGGCTTAGAGCTGTGAAAATGCCAATATAGTAGTCAAGGATACCCAAGCATTATGCACGTAGCAGTTCAACACATGTAAGTAAAGCCAATGGCATATTTAAACTCCGAAACAGCCTTTTGGCCAACATTTTCAGAAGCGGCTTCTGGTATCAGCGTCCTCTGCCTTTTGGATTCCTAATGCTTGAGATACTTTTAGCGCCAACTCTTAAGCATGGAACACCTGCAACTTCAGGTGAAGTCCTTGGTAGCTGCAGATGCTCAGCACTGCTGGCATCTAAGACAGGCTTGTGAAGTCAAGCACCCCAAATCATTTGCTGGTCTTAAAAACTTTGTCCCTTCCAACTCAGTCAAACCAAGCATCCAGTACTTCTGGGATGCCATTGCTTGCAAGCAGCTGATATGTTTTTACAGTATGGTTTCTCTTTGATGTTTGAGGCACAAAGCTGACTTGATTTAATTATTTAGAGTTTAAAAATACATTGTGTAGTAGTTCTACCCCTTCTAAAGTCTCTCTTTTTCTTTTTTTACCCATTTGTTGGGCAATAGATATAATTGGTCTTTCTGGTCTTATTACACCTTCTTTGGATGAAATGATTTTTGTTGCCAAGGAAATGCAGAGATTAGAGATAAAGATTCCATTGCTGATTGGAGGAGCAACCACTTCTAAGTGAGTAAAATAATCTTGAGGGGACAAAAGCATATGCAAGGTCCTGCTAAATGCAAGCAAATAAATAAGTAAAATCTGTGTATGTGAAGTATAACTTGCTCTGCCCCTGTTCCTCGTGGGTTTTTTTAGAAGATAAAGGCTTAACTTGCTACTGTCTCTACCTCAGTAGCTCTGGGTTTCCACTAATACTGGACATGCACAATACTTTAGTTATCTAAATGTCAAATGCTATGGGCTTGATCCTAAACACAGTTGCTACAAATGGAGCTGTGTCCCTGGGCAGGGGCTGAACAATACAGGCTCTGATTCAGCAGAGCTCTTCTGAATCTACTAGACTTGCGGTGTAGGAGTGGGACTGTTCATGTGCTTAAAGATAAGCCTGTCATTGGCGGGTCCAGGCCACAGTGCTCTGCAAGATTGAATTTCTAATCTGTTGAAACAGGACAGACCACATGTTTATAGGATGCTTAGTTTTGAATTGGAATTTCTCAGCTTGGGATCTCATTCTTGTAAATGTATTCAAATAAAGTCATGTCACTGTTCTGATTATTCTAGAGAATAATATTGACAGCGGGCTGACATCTGGTATTAACCTTCCTGCAAACCTGTTTTGGGTGGTGGCTTGAGTCACACTTTGCTAACTGATTTATGTCCAATATTTTGAGCAGGTGACAGCTCAGGAGACTGAAGAGGTCAGTTCTTGCATATATAAAAGTTTGAGTATTGTTTCTTTTCTTCCCAGAAGCTTATGCATTTTTATGATCAGCATCCTACAGCTCCCTGCCTCTTGAATCAGCTGGTGTTGGCAAAATGGTCAATAAGATAACAAGCACTGAGTTGATTAGGATAACTGCCATGTCTACTGGCCCAGCAATCTACCCCACATTATGATGTGTCCTTACCTTTATTTTTCCTGCTGGTCTGGGTTTATCTTCTATGAACTGAAACAAACAAAAGTGATGGAATACAGATAACTTGTCTGTAAAACATATTTGTTCTAATTAGTGGAGGGCTTAGAAGAGTTGATGATCTGCCATGATAGTCCTTTGTGGTCCTCAGCGCGTTGTCATTTTGAGACGACTTGCATAATTCACCATTATGGAGACAAATGCCTTTGGAAAGAGTAAATGCAAAGCCCATATGCTTTATCCCTGGCTTTTCAGACTAAATAATCAGCATACAGTTTTGTTGTGAAAATAAACAAACAAATTTACCTAAGGTGTTTGTGAAACACACAAACACATGTAAAAGGTATTTACTTGAACATTAAAACCAGAGACTTAATGAAGACTAGTAATTGTCTTTTATATACATCTCAGACTTTGGAGAGTTTTTTTAATAGTATATACATTTACTTTAAAATAGGAATGTCCAACTTGCCCCACTCCCAGGCCAGATCTGGATGTGGTGTTGGGATGAGGAGCTGCAGCAGTTAATGTGGCCATCACTTGTCCCCGCACCACTGACTTGGGGCCTTGCCCCTGTGGGATCTGTATAGACCTGATGACATCGTACTGTGGGTCAGATCTGGCCTGATGGCCTTATGTTTGATCGTCCTGCTTTAACAGTTTAAATAAATACTTTTTAAAAGCTGTTTACAGAGTTCTTTGCACTTTGGTTCTGTAATAGCTTCCCACTTCTGTTTTTTCCTTTTTATAGGTAAGCTGAGGGAGGGGATGCATGACTCTGCGCACAAAATTTCTCTAGTAGGATATCTGTAGCATTAATTATAATGCATATTTGTTTTACCAAAATGTTTTGGTAATGTTAGAACTAGGCAAGTAACAGTGGCAGTGTATCACATGGTGTTTTTTAAGAAAGATAATTAAAAATATATGTAAAAATATGCAATCCTACTATATCGCTTATGCTGCCTATCACTTTTCTCCCTTTTGCTTATAAAAGGGTTAAGCCTTAAGCAAATATAATATCTTGCTTGAACAAATATATTATCTAAGATGAAGCCCAAGTACATCAAGGATGGAACAAATTTAAAAGTTCCCAAAAAGGTAACTTACATAATTATTTTTCAGAGTTAGCTGTAACTTGTATATCCAAAACAGATGCACATACTTGCCGGAACCTAAAGAAAAAGGGACACCCATTTTATAAAACTAATGGCAAAAGAGGGAGTCTTAGAATGACTAATTGAGCCAAAAGCATGAAGATGAATATGAGAGCTTGATGTAAAATGTTACCCTAACGCCTCCCTTGTAGGCTTTATATTTTTTTAAATGTTGCTTTTAAATATGCAACTCAAGACGCACAAAAACTGCATGTGCAAAATTATTTGAATTATTTCAGTCTGCAATGTACACTTCATTTGTAGTACAAAAAGTCTGTTTCTGGGATTTTTTTTAAGTTTAACTTATTCAGTTCTTATTCAGTGTTAAAATAAGTGTATGAGATGTTTGTGTCCAGGGAGCAGCATGTCTTAGCTCATCCATTCCTATGCATAAACACCCACTCACATGCACATGCTCAAATTCCAGAAATTATCTTGTGAGGTGGCTTGAAGCAGAGATGGGTGTTTGTCTGTGGCCACTCTTAAAATGTCAGTCTCCAGGATTTTTAAGAGCAGTGGCTGGGGGTGACCCCCAGAAGGGCTTCACAGGCTGTCTTCACATTTGGCTAATTTGTGCTGGTGTGGGTGGGTGAAAGTGGCCTGCCTGAGACGTGTCACTGTAGCAGTGTAGACATGCCTAAACACATTCAGGTAGATGGTTATTACCTGTCTCTCTCATCGCTGCCTTTACCGTGATATCTGAGTGCCTAATAATTTTTAATGTTCTCAACATATGCCTGTGAGGCAAGAAAGTACTGAGGCACAGAAGCCGAGCAGGGACTCAAACCCAGGTCTCCAACATCCAAGATCAGTAGCCTGATAGGACACTTTTTTCCCCCGTCACACTGTTTGAATGTGTGATAGTTTTTGCACATTTAATTTTTACAGCTGTGTGTACAATTCACTACTTAATCATTGCTTTGCTGCACCTGTCTTTCAAAGCAAAATATATATGTAAACATGGTGGTGCTGAAAGCAACAGGTTTAAGGATGTTGAAGCCCTGGAGCAGGTAAGTTTGTTATTGCAAAAGAAAATACCCTTGAGATCTTATCACATTAGTAAATCTGTATGGGGGGAATCAGATGCAATTACCTTGGAAGTTAACACAACAAAAATCCTGTGATGGCTTAAATTATATGCAGTTACATGGTAGATATACATTCATTGTAAAAGCAATGAAGTACCTTCTTTATGCAAATCTTAAATAACTTTGAATTTAAGATGACCCTCCTTCTCAGAAGATGAGGGGGAAGGCAGCTGAGCTAGAGTTGCAGGTGGTGGAGGGACAAGCTGCAGGTTCTCTCCCCTGTGCTGACCACTTAGCTGTGTGCCACTTCTCCCACCAAATAAGCTCTTTTGGCCCAGGGTAGGCAGTGGCCCTGAATTTGGGGCCAAAGCTGGAGCTGACCTGCTACCTGCCCAAGGCCACGACTCAAATCTAAGACCAGGATTTTTCCCCCATGTGCAGACTTTTTGGGGGGGGCGGGACTGGAGAGGATGGGAACCTTGTCTTGAATTATAGTAAATATGTCAACACTAATTATTTGTCATTTTGTTGCTGCAACTGAATGTAACTTTTTATATTAAGAAAGTAGACTGGGATGAGGTAGTTGAACTAAGACTAAATGGACGTTTTCTTCCATTTTGCATCTTGCACTATTCTACTAGTTCTTTTTCAGGACCACAGAATGCCTGGTCAGTTCATGTTCTGTTGTTTTCCCCATGTGTATCCATTTCCTGACCAACTTGCGTCAAGTCACAGCAGACATGCTGTCTCAGAGTAGCAAAATGAACAAGTGAGGTATTGCTTCCTGGCAAGCACGCTTACTTGCACATACTTTCATACCATTTGTCAGGACAAAGAGCTCCTGAAATAGTCAGCTGCAGGTGATGCATTAGTTTAAGCCTTAATTTAGCACTCAGTCTCTATTCAGCAAAGCACTTTAGCAAGTGCTAAACAATCAGCAGGCTCCAAACATGTTCTTTAAGTGCTTTATGGACACAAATGGACTTATGTGTTCTAAACACTTTGCTGAGCTGAGGTCTTGGTGTGTGGTGACTTCCTAGTGAGGGCAAGATTTTTCTGCTTAATGACTGCAAAGAGTTCCTCTTTCATCTCAAGAGTGGAGGTACTTATGCTTTAGGTTTTGAAGACCACATTTTGCATGCAACTACTGTAAAACATGTTATGAACAGTCAGTCATAGTTCATCATTTGGATGTGTTGGTGAAAGTCTGAAGGCCACAGGCATAATTAACCTGAGGCATCTGTAAGAAAGGACTATTTTTTTTTTTTTCTAGAGGATTTAACCTTGAACACATCTCACTGCAGTATCATAAGACTCGGTCAAGTAACAGATTGAATTCTTTTTTTTTCTTACAATGCTGAAAGACTGTATGATGGCACAGAGAAGTTGATACAGAGTGTGGTCCAAAAAATCATTTCAGTATCTTTTGGAAGGAAAATGCTGTATACATAAGTCTACCTGTGTATAGTAATCCATTTATATAAAACATATGGCTTATTTTTTTTCTCCTGAACATTTTTTCCAACCATGAATCTTGCATTTGTATACCTGCAGAATTTTTTTCCTTTAAATATCTATTTTTATTTATAAAAATGTAACTTTATATTTACTTGACTAGGTAACGTCTCCGTGTGCCTGGGTTTTGAAAAGTTTGTACCTTGTTTTGAAACGTTTACTCTTGATCTGTTCCTATTTCAGAACACATACAGCTGTCAAAATTGCCCCGCGATACAGTGCACCAGTCATTCATGTCCTTGATGCATCCAAAAGTGTCGTAGTTGTAAGTTCTGGATTATGCAATTCCTGCCATCTCTCTCTCCTCCCAGTACGCACATCCTTTGTCCCTTCCCTTTAACAGTATATTTTTATTCAAAACAAATGTCCTCTTCTAGGGCTTGGTGCTGAAAGCTCAGTCTCAGTAAAATGCATTAACTTGCAGAAGGCTAGATCAAGACCTCTGTATCATTTAAAGTACTATATTGAAGGAGCAAGGTGGTATGTAAGTCATGTTGGGTCCTGCCCAAAGAGGCCCCCAGGAGGAGGGCAGCACGGCTGGGCACCCTGAGTCCCACATCAGGCAGCTCACATCTTCCCCCACCCCCCATGGGCTCTGCTTAGCTCGGGTGTAGCCATGCTGTCCAGAGCCAAGACAGGCATGTGTCCTGCTTTTGCATTTTGAAAAGGTGGTTGTGCTGTCCCTAAATGCTGCTACTTGGTTTCTTACTATGAGGAAAGATCTCTTTCCCCCCTTGTTCTGTCTTTCAAAAACAAGGTGCTTACTATATTCCAAGGCATTTTGTATGCAAGAACATACAATATCTATGCAGAACTCCAATTCCAGTCCATTTGCCCTAACCTCTAAATTGAATGCCACCTATAAGCCTCTTTCAGGTTACTGAAAAAACAATTTCACCAGATAGCCCAGTCCTTATGAGTGAGATCAGGGCACTCTATAACTACTCTGTGATGGTGTAAGCCTGTGACTTATTTTGTGTTCTTTAGTTCCTAAGATAGGTGAGTTGGTTGCTGAAGTTTGTTACCCTCGTAATCTGTCCTTCATCCTCTGGGCTGCATGGAGGATGGGGAAGCACAGTCTATCCAAACAATGAGATTGGCTTTGTGATGCACAGGCTAGCATGTGGGCAGACATCGTTGTGCTGAAGCAGCACCTCAGACATGTCTCTGTCAGGCTCTTTACATGTGGTGTTTCAGCTTCTTGAGGGTTCTAATATAGTTGTGTTTACTGTGGCTCCCGTAAGCAAGAAGTCAGCAAGAACACCCTCCACATCCCTGGCTTGCTTAGGAGATAAAATTAGGGGGCATTACTTTTTAACTGATGCTCTTAGACTAGGCGGCCCAGATATGAAATGAAAGGAAGGACTTTGAAAAGTAGCCCATAGGATTTTGTTAAATTTGACATAAAATCTGGCCATTTGGTGATGCAAAGCAAGCTTTGTTCCCTAGATACAGCATTTTTGTGCATTTTGAAGTTGATTGTAATGTCTTTTAAAAGAAACCATTTAAATTTTTTGTAAAATGCCTAATATTTATGATGCACTGTATTTATTCCTGGCTATCAGAATGAATTCAATGTGTGTGTGATTCCTGACTCAGATAAGGAAACACACATTGATGAAAATGAATATCTGAGAATTTCCTGTTTAGTATCTGAGTGGCTGTTAGGGTGCTTTAGAATGCTTAAAGTAGTCATGGACTTAAATCTTTGAAGAACAGGCTAATATGAATAATTGAGATCTCAAAAACTACACAGTGGATTTTGAATACTGGGGTTTGCTTATGTTAGATTTTTTTAGAAACCCTTTCATTCTCAAACTGTAGATCTTCAAACTAAGTCAGTAGTTACTCGGTACTTACTGATAAGTCTGTACTTCTGAAGCTTTGAGGATTTAAACTTAAAATTGCTTTCAATATGGACTCAAGAAGACAAGATCACATGATAAAGATGAATTTTCCTAAGGATCTTGCAGGGTGGGGGGAGGTTAAGAACCCAAGCATGAAATTTCAAGGACAGTAGTAAAGTGTTGCTTTGAAAAATGTTGAGTGGTAAGAGAAAATGAGTATTTAAAGGAGCTGATTGTTCCATGTGTGGGTAAAGGAGATGAAAACCCCAAGGAAGGGGAAAAGAAGATTGCTGACTTGATGGCATCTTCATTTATTTTCCATATCCTCCCAACCCTATGCAGTTTCAGAATCTATATTTGGCAAGTAGGTATTCCACGTGCTGGCAGATACAGGACAGCTGCTCTCTTTTGTGGTGGTCTGCTCCTACTCCTCACAGTGACATCCCATTAAAGTTAATGTTAATAATGGTGTCCATTTTCTTGGATAACATCTGACATTACCTGCATGGAGACATTTCTAGGGGAAGCAACTCCTGGTATGGAAGACAGACTGTGCAAAAACACAGAGCCTTTGTAGGTTGCCTTAAACCAAAGCTTGTCTTCGTGGTGCACAAAGATTTCAGTGTGAGGAAGCATAGGTTTTGTACACCAACCTCCTGCCAGTTCTGCTGGAGATAAGCATATTCTACAGGTAGCCCCCCAACGCAGACCTAAAGAATGGTTTGAAGGAAACGTCAGCACCCCAAGCTCATGATGTGAAATCCTGACCTCGCTTAAATCTGTGGCAGAAGTCTCAGTGACTTAAGTGATTTTTACCTAGTGGAGTTTTGAAAGCTCCTGTGCAGAACTAACCTACAGTTGATAAGATGTGGCGGTTTTTTTTATGGGCATGGTAGGGTGGAGGGGACAGTGGGAATGACTTCATAATAGCAATGAAATTACCCAAGTTTAAGATTAAATTGAAGAACTGAGTAAGATGCCACCAGAGACCCCAGTTTCCAAATTGTGATCTCTCATTGAGGGGTGTTGCTGCCATTTCCTAGTTCTCTTGTCTTGTTTTTAATTGCTCATTTTGGCTAACCCATTATTATCCTAAAAGCCTATTTCCAACATTATAGTGACTTCACAAATCTTATAACAAATACTGATTGTAGCACCAGGCATTTACAGCTACGTAATTTTAGTAAAGTTAATTACAGATTCATTGCCTTCTACCTTTTTAACTCTGTTAGAAATTAGTGACAGAGGGACAAATATTGGTACACTCAAAGTACCAACAGTACTGCTGTGAAGTAAATGCAGGGCCTCAGAAGGGAGATGTAATCCAAGTGGGAAAATCTTACTGTAAGAAGACTAGAGAATTGTCCATCCAAGTCTTGGTCTGGTTCATAGGCCTGTTTTGAGCTTCCAGTTATAGGTTTCCACCCCTCAGCTCTTCCTTGTGTCAGACTGAATCCTCATGGCAGCATACAGGTACTGTTGATGCTTGCAGAAATGAACATTATTGTAAAGCTTTGAAAGCTAGCCTACAAGTTAGTAATGGCATTATATCTGTCATGCTTAGCAAGATAATACCTGTGGAAACTAGAGTAGGAAAAGACCTAGTTTAAAGTTTGCCCTCACTCACCCATGTTGCAATCTTCCTATTGTGTAAACTCCCTTTTTTCCCCCCTCAGTGCTCTCAACTGTTAGATGAAAATCTAAAGGAGGACTTCTTTGAAGAAATATTGGAGGAATATGAGGACATTAGGCAAGAGCACTATGAATCTCTTAAGGTAAATAAACCTGTCCATTGTATATGTATGCACTCACACCCACAACTTTTCCTTTCTAAACTAATCAATCCTTGTATCACTATTAATCCTTGGACAGATTCCTTATTGATGTTCAGCATATTTACACTGAGAAATTAATTTACAAAAATCATTGTGAATTGACCTCTAAAGCTAGGTACAGACATTCAAGAAGCCCAAGATGGAATCAAATTATGTGGTTTTCTGTAAGTGGTGTAATTTAGATCGGCAGTGAGCAGATGGGGGGGGGGGGGGGGGG